CCAAAAAGTGCTGAAGGGCTAACAGCTCATAGTCAGTGTAAAATCTTCGTCTGGCCTACACTTTGTGCACAGGGACAAACTGCTCGAAATAACCGAACATCACGTCGGTCAGACTGACAAATTACTTACTGGCTACGGACCGGGTGAAAGTATATCCCTATTGGTGAGAAAATGGGTTGATCAGTAAATAAAAGTTTTAGTTCGATACTCCTCCCCGATCACGGAGAGTCTAGCTCAGTCATGTGGAGAAGTCTATGGCAAATTTATAAGCGAAGCAGTACCGATCTTCCTTTATCTCAAGATAGCGTACACTCTCATACATCTACCAAGCCGAAAACCAGGCCTAGAAACCCGATACCTTTTCGAAGCCTCAAAAACACATTGTATCACTCTGATTCAGCAGCATTAAAACAGGACGATAGGGCACTTTCAAATTTCATCATACTGTCAACAGACTAATACAGGCTGCGAGACATGCACAGCCGAACTATCCACAAATCAGGCTGTCAGTCCAACTCTGCGCTTTCAGGATACTAAAGACACCGACACAGGCGGTGCTGGCTACCGAAAAGCTCACTCAGATGAACGCTTTAACCATTAATGATCTTCATTACGTGGGTGTAGAGAAGTCGGTAGCATGCAGCAGGTTAATGTCTATTGCGTCACATACCTGTTGTCTATTGTGAACAGCTGGCGAAGATGAAACTGGTGTAAAATCCGGTTAAATTCAAAGCCCTCTTAGCTACTTCTAAGGCCTCCAAAGAGGACCGATGAGTATTCCGATGAAACAGTTAGAATATCCGCCTATGGTCACATGCTTATGCTAATATGCCAATAGCTGGCTTCACTAACAGTCACGTGAATCTGTAAGCCACTAGCCGTTGAAAATGATCTGCATAGACCTGGCCCACTATTCGACAGCCTAAGCGAGTAAACCAGAGAGAGGTGCGGCCAATGAGATTCGACCCAATGGCGATGAAACTGTTTGTGTGGCTGCGCTTTGTGATTATTTAACAGTGGTAGAATAATTCTGAATAAATCGACGATCACAGATGATGTGGGCCTTTGACCACTGATGCCTCAGAAGCGTTGCTGGTGTTGGATGACAAACGAATTCCTAATGAGATCATTTAAAAACCGGTATTCGCTTGTGTATCAAGTACTTCATTCGCATTCAGCAGCATCAATCGCGGTACATCGGTTATGTGAAGCACTTTCCGAAACGTCTACCGAGGCATCGTCTCCGTCTGCCCTTCAGAATGGTACGAAGTGTGAAGTGGACAACGTGTGATTTGGCAGAATTGTGTGAAAGGGATTATGAGAAGTACATGTGTTGGTGCCGTTCGCTCTGAAGGATGGAGTCCGCGTGACGCACCCTACGCTCACCTGGAGACTACAAGAAATGGTGTCTAACTGGTGTCAGTGGCAAGGCATCAGTGTGAACAATGTTGTCGTCTTTGACGATGATGATGAAATCGATGACGTACTGCAAAGCGCATCTCGTGATTACTTATCCAAAATATTCCAAAGTGTTTACGTTTCGGAGTGATGAACTGACAGGAACTGCGCCACTAGCGTAGTCAATACCGATTAGTGAGAACATCTAAGAGGTCTGCAGCTTCTGAGTGTCCATTTCATTATATTCTGAAACGGAAAAATAAAAAAAGAATGTGGAGAGATTGGGTCCCTTGACACACCTTGCGCAACCTAAAAACGCCCGGAGAATTCGTCCGTATACCCTCTTAATTTCATGGCCAGCATACATCCTTTGCAAAATGTTAGCGTAATTATGTGAAGAGTCGCACGCTTCCGAGCTGAAAGTTCCGGTGACTTGTCACCGAACCACTCCTAGTCGATAAATGGAGGTATATGCCAGAGTATTTTAAGATACCCACTAGGACAACTGGGGAGAAAATCACGAATTGGAGGGACAGCCTATTGCTTCTTCAACGGTACATCTGCATGTGGCACCAACCCCAATCGGAGTGTACAGCAATCACACTGGTTAGAAAAAGATAATATTACTCGGTATCGCTTGCATCTTTGCTTGCTGCGGGAGAACGGCTCGAGTATCAGCATTATCGGGGAATCTAAGGTTAAAATCGTGCGGTCCTGTGCGACTTGAGTCAGAGGTCAAAGGTGAGACACCTCGACCAAGTTACTTTTCCGATTTGAGCTAAGTATCGTTCGCCTTCACCTCCCTTTGTTCACTTATGTTCCTCTCCAATTAATTGCCATACTACAAGTAAGAATTACCGGACTGTCAGCTATCTGAAGATGTACGGTATATAAGTCTGGGCCTTCAGTCGAGACTAAGACTACCTGCCACTCCGTACTACCGAGCTTCATCGTAAACAAGAGCTCTCGACAATCATACCCTTTGAGATTGGCCAGTGGATAGTCGCCTAGATCATACACACGTTTGAAGTCTCCGAAACACGCACAACAAAGCATCCAGAACTATTCGATTTTACGTTTACCCTATGATTATCAGTGGTCCTTGGTGTGCATAAGATAGAAGTCGAACTCCGCCTAACGACGAGACGCGATTTTCCACCCAGTCGTCACTTTCACATCAATAGACTATTAAGTTTACTCACGGCTAATATCGGAGCTTACCTGTCGTTTCACACTGTATTCTGACGCTGAGAACATCTACCGGGATCTGTCTGGACAGAGTTCAACAAAACACACTAGCACTGTCTTCCTTGTGGGTGTTATGAATTAAAAGTCCGTGGACTAGCCCCTGTGGAATCACACCTAGGTGTTCGATTGGGATCGGATACTCATCCCACAGACCCCTAGAGAGAAACCCTCGCAAAGAGAAGACAGGATTCCTACTGAATTCAGTGACTACCCACCCTCAGCCCTCGGGCCCCTTAATAAACTATTTTGCTCTACATATACAACGAAGACTGTTCCTTAAAAGTGGTGAGCCCCAACACCAGGAAACTTCAGAGGATAAAACGTCTCGTGCCAAATATCGTAGAATTCAATCTGACTGAATCAGGGCGGATTCCGTCCAGGATCAAATGTTTGCCCTATGCCGAACCCTATTTAAATTTCAACTCTTAATTGCGAATCATCGTGAATATTTCTCCAACTAATTGTGTACTCACAAGGAGCACTGCTTATAGGTGAAGGGTCATGAAGAAGAAACCCTAGCTCGATATCGTGTCTGGTGTGCGCCAAAGGTATCCAATGCTGTTTAAGCCTGCAAACTGCAAGTCACCTTGGCGGGGATCTTGCGAATATTCCAGTTTATTCCCAGGCCTGAATGGCGGATTCGGAATAGGCTTGGAGACAAACTGGAAAAAGCTCAGTGCATGCTGGTCAGTCTACCGCACTACGCAGCGATACTGGGAAGGACGTTTTACATACCTGTATGGAGGTGCCACTGCCAACGTAGGAGTTGGTAGAACAAGTCATTGTATCCTAACATCCTAACATCCACCGACGAAGTTCAACCCCAGATTGACAACACCATACATGCTTTCACACAGCTGAACAACTTATCGCAGAGAAATCAACTGTCTGTGCATAAAAATTCGAATCATCAAAGCGGCGACCAGCACAGTCCTAATCAAAGTCTCCAAAACGTGGCTACTCTGAGCACAAGATATCCGGAAACTGGGAGTTTTTGAAATCGGAATGCTAAAAATTCAAAACCCGGAGAAAGTGTCACAAGACGAAAACTCAAGGCAATGTCAAGACCTATTACGCCTACTTCAGGTCCCTCAATGACGTTTAAAATTGGCTGAGGTTTACCAGGCGAGAACGATGCTGTAATTTTAGAACACATCTTGCCCGTATAATATTCCAAACGTGACGCCTTCGCCTCGGAAAACGGCTGAAAATGTGGCTGACTATAGTCAAAAGTACGTACAAAAGTGTGACCACCTTGATTCTGAGTAGCTTCAGAACAAGCTGAAATTTCCACATCTTTAAAGGTTTTTACCCATGCAATGAAATTTTGTATACCGGTTTATTTGCTCTTCTCATCCCTACAGTTTTCCTCTGTCTTTCATACCATGCAGATTTATGCTACAAGCTGATCGTCAGTCTATTGGATCCAGTACCTCAAGATCATGTAGATGAAATTGGCTGCGCAGTGCAACGAAATGAGAACACCACATTTTGTTGAAGCACGTGATGCTTGCGTGCATGCTTTTGGACTAGCAACTCAGACAAAATTGTCATAGTGCACAAACAAGGCGGAATAATCATGAGGGCATTCGTTTTTAAAGCTCAGTTTGGCTACAAATGTACCCAGATATCAGCGTGCACATAATTCACTATCATATGACTCGTCTTCCATTGAATGTCCATATAAGAAGGATGTAGCGCCAGTGAAATAGTTCTCCGTTTACGCGGACTTTGACCTAAAGGATTGGACACACAAATGGAACAAAATTGGCGAATCACCTATCTGTAAAAACGATCCAGCACAAACACTCAGCTGAAACAGTGGAATGTTATGACAGACTGGTACGACTGGAAACTCGATACAATCACTGAGGCGAAACTATGGAGAGTTATTCATTAGGTTTTCGGATCAACATCTCCGCTATGTTGGGAACAGATGTTTATCCACAGACAGGTGACCACACAATTATCTACCCCAGAACAATCGGACATGTAGGGTAGGCTTGCTACCCGGGATGTAGTTATGGTCGTGATCAGTTTTAGGTTGGTAGAAATATGTTGAATGTTTGTCAGTTTCAGAATGTCATCGAATGTTTACTGAAGGGCAACTGACATAGACTTGTAGTGAAAATGACCGAGTCAATGGATATCGAGTACCGTAATGTGACGGGGGCACATCCTGTGCGTTATCATTAGTGTATATCTCTTTAAGAATTTTACTTTTTAATTGAACTTAGATTAAATGGGCACACTGATGGCTTGACTAACGGCCAAACTGCGAGGTGGAGAAGTGCTACCGGAACCAACAGAGGAAAAAGGTAAGACTGAATAATAACAACACGTAGTGTTGCAGTAACAAGTTCCGTGGTAACTTACAATCATACAACATTATGGAGAAGTACGGAAGTCACAGGCGCAGTTGTATCAAAGCAACGAAAATACTAACGTCTATCACAGTATAAAAAACAGTTTCTAACAGAGCGTTTTAAGCCCAAAGCAAAATCAAAGAACGTCAAAACACGAGAAGAGGGGCAATATATCATACAATGGAAGCACTCGTTCAAAAAAGTTAGTGTAATCAGAAGAACCAGAGCACACGAACAATCTACACCGGTCGATTTAAGCCAAACCCTCGAATCCAACTAGGCCATTTCTCATGCACTCGGTGGCTTCATTGATACACGAAGCCAGTATGGAGAGTTCCTGCTTCAGAAGCCTCAAACAGTTGGATTTCTCTTCTGAGTTATCGTCATGAATGTGTTTGAGCAACCGAGTGAATGCAGACTGGACGCGATGGAAATAAACGGTTTGAAACCCACGTGGTGCGTACAACACGAAAGGGAATGAATTGGGATCAGCGAGAGAGGGCTTCACAAAGCATTTGGGTATATTGGCAACCGTTCGATTGAGTACAGCAGGAAATCTGACCAATAAAATAAACAAGGGGAGAAGATAGGATATAAAGACTAGTACTTCTATATAGGGAAGCATGCAGTTAGGTGTAACGAAACGATAGACCAAGTAAGTCTTTATACTGAACTCCAGTTAATCTGAGGTCTCAGGGAAAAGTATTGCAATAAACGGTCCAAAATAACCAACTCATAATAACCGAGGATCGCAATTTAACTCCCTCATTAGTGTCCCGCTCCAGCTAATGACTGAACAGGCACTACACACTCGCACTATGGAGTACGAAATTCAGAGGGGAAACGATACTACTTATGCTAAAGGGAATTGGAGAGCAGAGAAGCTGTCCGCACCAACCTCAAGAGGAGACTACAAGACTTGAAAGCACACATCAGCAAAGCTTACCAAGGCTCTCATTAAAAAGATGTGACGTTCTACTTTTACTGAAAACTAATTCAGTGGTCAGGTACTAAGTAGTCTACTTATACCAGCGTTCCAACATGAATGTATCGTGTTTCTTCACAAATTTCGTGGTTTATCGAAACTGTGGTGGGATTACACTGAGGATCACCTTTTGTCCTTTGAACATCCGAGGATAAATATGTACATATTTGGAATGCACTGCTCATAAGGTTGCTGAAGATTCGTCAACAGCCCACGACCGGTTTCGCCCTTCTTGGGGCTCATCAGGTAGGCGCAGTCCCCGGGTTTCTGTCAAACTTATTTTCTACTTGAGACCAAGTTGCACGAAATTAGCGAAACACACTCATTTCAATATTTTGTAATAATATATTAAAGTGCTGCGAGAGCCAGCAACTACCAAGGAGTGTGGCAATAAATGTATATATACATAAATATACAAATATATATGTATATTTATGTATATTTATTGCCGCACTCCTTGGTAGTTGCTAGCACTCACAGCACTTTAATATTATGAATAACGTTTCTGCACTTTCCTATACTGTTACATCACCATAATGGACTTCGCTTCGGGAAACTGATAGACTAACCTCACTCGGAGCTTTCGCATTCACTGCGAAAGCGCCAGTGATTCCAATTCATCTAACGGATAACATATTCGTAACTAAACACACCATTACCGGCTTTGTCAACCATTAGTTGGTGCAGCCTACCATACGGTTGACCAGCCCCCGTCCTAATCACTAAAAATATGGCACCTGGAATATGTATATCCTCGTTCGTGATTCACAGCTGAGCAGTTGATTGTGATTAACGAACTAATGTTGATCAGGGTCCGTGGCGGAAATGCCACCAACTGCCCGCTACAAATATTGCATCCCAACTACCATACTGGCTTTTTTACCACGACGGTGAGTCCTTCCGATATGCGGCTATAAGCCATTGAGAGAACGTGTCATCGTTTGTCGAATTTACTTCACATTTGACTGTGGAGCACCCGCACACATGACTGATGCTGATTAGTGCTGGAGAATGCCCAACCTACGAATTCGCCTTTGTTTGGAACAGTGACTATCGGATCAATGTTGATCGAACTCCTCGAGGTGCTGAGCAATACTGGAACAAGTGTTTGCGACACCCACTGTCTGGTGCGACAGTCGTCGAACGGAAACAGAGACCGATGGTAAACGCTATGGCTGATTCTTTTGGCAAGTCAAAGACCCTAGGTAATAATATGTAAGGGGACACATTCCGTTGATAGCAGCCTAATTTGCAAATTATTGTTTATCTGCACATACATTCAGTTTAGTGTTCAGGTGCGAGCTACGACTGACAGAAATCCAGGGACTCCGCCTACCTGATGAGTTCTACAAAGTGCAAGACAAAACCGATACTAGACTTCCAAGGGTTTTCACCGATGTTATGAATAGCGTCATACTAGGGAACACACTCCAGTATCCCGATTACCATTCTAATTGAAAAGTGAGGTGGCCCTCGCGTAACACCCCCGCCATCACCACAAAAGACATCCTGATGGGTTCCACAGAAGTTAACGCGAAAATTCACTCCTCAACGGACGTTTTCATCTTTACGAAGGGTCTCTTGTAGATGATGGCTGTACAGAAACAAAGTGTTAAACTCTAAAAGCAGGGTAAAGTCAAAGCTACAAAAGTGATGAAAGTCACAGCTCCGGGTGGTGGAAAAAGTATGAACAGATACTCGCGAAAATTTTGAGATTTCTTAGGATGAACAATGGGCGTGGAAAATTAAGTGCATCAGTGTCAAACCACACTCACTCGGCTGTACGCTGCTCCAATGTATTCAAGAATGCTTCAACACGTTCCGCGGAATGCAACATTTGGTCCAAGTCTTCGCTGATCCAGTCTATAGGAATGGAACGTTACAACTAAGCGTGAGCGAGATCAATAAAAGATGAGTGGATCCTCTCCACTGTTATGTTTATTTGTGGATTATGTTTCATCAGAGAGGTTGTTACTAGACCCATCGAAAGCATCTCGGTATTGCGCTGCTTCCTCCACTAGATCATTCGGAAGTGCTGGAAATCAGATCGGGAACCACATGTCGCAGCTTCATCGCACAAATCAAGTCGACCTATGCTGGCAGACTGAAGAGCACTGTAGTGGTGCTTCATCTTTGCTGAAATTCACTGATAGTTGGCATCTCTGCGGACTCTGGTCTGGGACCCACCCGATAGGAGCCTTGACTATCGTTCTGTCGTCGATCATCAGAGTGAATTAAATGCACAAACATAGTGCTAGACGTTGTCCAGTTATGCGCTCCATGTCAGTTGATCGGATATTTAATGGTTTCTGGGGTGACGACTTCCCCGGTCGGCGGTGGGATAGTTATTTCTGAACAGATAAATTAATTTAGAAGGTTTGTGTGCGGATCACAAGTAGAATGACCGTGTGCGTAGCGATTCAGACAAAAAGTGAACATTGAATTGGTGTATCGGTTTTTCACGTAACACTAAAGTAAAATATCCAGCTAAATTATTCCCAGTGACTCACGATGGGTGAAAAAAACATATGTCACGAAAATCCGGACAACTATCCACTGCAGTGCCTTACAAGCCATATCCATTTTTCGGATGCATCGATTTCCGTGAATTCTTTAAAGTAGAGGGCTCACGGCAGTCGTCGACTGTACTGGAAGTGGGTGGGCCACCAAGTCGATCTTATCACTCCTTCGGGAAATAAAACAAGAACTGACGTTTCGCTGTCGGAGCGCGACCAAACATTCTCCACCCACGCCACCACCAGCGACCTAGCTTTGAGAAAGACCAATCTGGGGATGTAATATATATGGTGCAAGACGAGTCAGTCGCAGTTCAACGAATTCTCCTGTGGCGTTAATATATATGCTAATATCGGATGAAACTGCGAGGCAGCGACGTGATCACATACAAGACTAGCAGTGAACCAATCGTTCCAAGGCCACAAGCAGATGAGGCAGATGCATCCAGTGCTGAAGTGATGGAATGAAATAGGGACTCAACAGCGTCTACTGCGGAGCGAGATTGAAGATAAGCAAATTCGTCAGATCTTTGACAGAAAAGAGTATTTTTTCACGCGACTCATTAGATACGTTCAGAGAGGCTCAAAAGAACGGACGTACAGGTGACTGACCTAAAAAAACTTTGTCGTCCCATTCTTCAGTGCAGGTGTGATGTCAACTACTCGCCAATATTCAGAAATTTATGCACTGGAATGATAAGTAAAAAGTAGAACAGATACTCAGTCAGGTGGTAAATACATGGAACCGATTGAGTAGTCATCGTTTTCGAAAAACGTTTGGTGACAATCGGTAGATTGATTGCTGGGGCAACGTTTCGCTTTTGACACAAAAGCTTCGTCAGGTCAAGTGACTAGATTCCGAGGTTGGTCGAGATTTAAGCCGGAAGGAGAACCAATCAGCTAACTTAAGCTAAATCTCTGTTGGCTATCGGCCGAGGGATTTTTGTGTGTTAGAGTGGGTGAACAAGTGTTGAGCCGATGGGGAAATCTGTGTTTGGGTCCAGCCTAGGGTCTAGTTCTTCTGGTTCGGTTCATTTGATGGTCCCTCTTGAACCTCGCTTGAGCCTTCTGTCCGTCTGTGTGGATGAGCTAGTGCTAAGTGCTGTGACCTTTGGTCGGGTTGGGATTCCCCCCCTCCACCCCCTAGTTTTCGTTAATGATTCTACGTGGATTGACAACCACGCAGTCACGTGTCAACTCGGCTTATCTAAGACCGCTTTCCATATGCTCGCCAGTTCCACACCCTCGATGCTATTCACGCTGTGATGCTTAGTAAATTCCACCACCTCGGCTATCAGACGCTGTGGTGTGAATCGCAGTCCCCGTCTTAAAACTTCCACATTCTCCAGATCTATTCTATGTCCCGTGTCTAAGGCATGTACCCCCACCGCTGAATCTTTGACAAGCGTTTGTTATTCTTCCGCATTCCTTGGTGGTTTGTTCATTCTCCTTTTGTGCTCACCTATCCTGGTGGCTTGCCCTATGTGAGCTTAAGTGCAATCGTTGCAGTTAATTTTATACACGCAGTCCCTATTCCTTTCAACTGGTAAGAGATCTCTCAATTGCACCAAAACTTAGCGTAGCGGTTTTCCATTCTGGAAGCTGCTCGAATGTTGGCTAAATTCAACAGTCTTCGAATAACCTCCGATGTTGCTGCTGGGTCTAGATACGGGAGCCAATATCTTTCTTAGTTGATGCTTAATCAAACTCACTAGGTATCCTATTTCTTGAAGTCTGTTGGCAATCTAGATTTGAGCTGCCGTTCGGTCTATCTCTTCTGTGCACAGCGTTCTGACTCGACGGAACATCGATGAGAATATACTGGCGTACACGGACTTTGGGTGTGCTGATGAGTAGCTTAAGACGGTTTCTGTGTCTGTTGGTTTCTGGTAGATAGTTGCTTTTAATTTCCCACCAATCTTATGTGTTATACAGTCCAGAAAGGGTAATGTACTCGAGGTGGACTCTATTTCCATGCTAAACTTGATGTATGGATTTAAACTATTAAGATAGTCGTGGAAGCTGTTCACGTTATATATGCTAAAACTGTGGATATTGGAGATCCCATTGTAAGGCCTTGTTCTTGTGAGTAGACAGTTGTGTCAAAAACAAACTTATCAAGATTCAAACACACTCTTATGCCCTCAACTATTTCATCCACCGAGAGCTGTGTCCGTTCTTCGAGTGTCGTCTCTAAGAGTAACAACCCTTCAGTTACTTTCAGAGCATCTGCCCGAGGGGTGTTTGTGTACATTAAGATCCACTGATAGTTGGCATCTCTGCGGACTCTGATCTGGGACCCACCCGATAGGAGCATTGACTATCGTTCTGTCCTCGATCATCAGCGTGAAGTAAATGCACAAAGAAAGTCGTACGAATTCCTAATGAAGGTGCTCGATTTCCCCGTGAGTGGTTTTAGCATACCAGCTAAGAATCTGTCCAGTTCATGTGGTGGTGAGCCTATACCATCCACTATTGGACGTATCGGGACATCTGCCTTGTGGATTTTTGGCAGTCCGTAGAGTCGCGGTTTTGAACCGCACTTATTGGATACAACGGATACCACTTAGTTCGCCCTAAATGGTTTATTACGGATCTTAAATATCTACCAACTTCAACCTTACTCTTACTGATCATTCAAGTGATACTGCTACCGGTAATTTGTCGATAGGGTCCATCGGCGAGGTGCTGCCTGACCTTTTGAAGATAGTCGCTCGTGTTCATTATTACTGTGGCTTTATCGCTATCTGCCAATATAATACCATGACAATACTATCTAATTGTCTCAGTGTGTTCAACGCTCCCCGCTCTGATGGTAAAATATTAGGAGCTCCCGGCTGTTGGGCTTTCAGGACTGACCAGCTTCCGCTAAAAGAAGCTTTTGAAACATCGACTCTACACTAGGAATTATTTCCTCCGTTCTTATTACTTTTTTGCTCACAGCGAAGTTTAGTCCCTCTTCTAACAGACTGCGTTCGTCTTCACTCAGTGGTCTGTCTGGTTCACTACCGGTTCGCTAAGAATATCATCACATTCGTCACCAACAGTTGTAGAGGACTGAGACCACCAACTGTGCGTGGTTTCACTTGCTGAATTTTTTAATGTGCTTCCTCTGACGTAGTGCTATCCGTGACTCCACACTCACCAGTGGCGCTGAATACAGCGGCTAGGTTTGACAAGTAAAAACATTTGTGACTGAGTTTGTAATGGTCAAGGCATCTTTGACACAGAAGCTAACTTTTGTCGTCATGCCCCGCACAGACAGATTTTATTGGTTCTATCGATTTTGAGTTTGATCGCTCGACTGAGCCCTCCGACCTATTGTGTAGGCGTGGTTGTGTTTTCTTCGTGGGTGCTTAAGTAGTGAGATGAAACTGTAAATGTTGGTGTGCATGGTTTCAGCAGAGTAACATAGGCCGAAGTAAAAGTTGTGATAAGCTGCGTGCTGGCTATTTGTCAAAGGACCGGAAGTCAGTGATGTTGTTACGTGGAATGATGCCAAGTGATGAACGGCTTATGCGAAGTTTTCCGTAAGCTGGCCCCGTTGTTCTCCTTGAAGCATACTTTTGGGGACAGATTTAGAATACGGTAATCAGAGAAGGTGTCCGTTAGCAGTGAAGAGACTGATATTGTTTACGAGTCAGTTGCTGGCATGCACAAACAACTCGGGTAAAAAAATCAAGATTGCTTGTGTGGTTGGCAAGTACACAAGTAGACCGATCCAAGAAAGGGAGTCCAGGAAAGCAGACAGCCGTAAGACTGGTGCATCTCGTACAAGCTTGTAGGAGCACTCGAATGGTAATTGATCGAAATTGGTTCACTTTTAAAATTTTTGTTAGCACCAACATGCTCTAAATATGGTCTTATTCGTGATCCTGGTCTTGAAGACTGTGCATGACACGTGATGTAAAATGATTCGAATCCTCAATAACGACAACAGAATTTTCCACCGAAACAGCACCCAGCACATCCGAATAGTCACGAAGACCATTATCTCACGACGTACTTCGAATTACGTAAATAGTCTTACCATAGTCACTACCGAAATGTGCTGTGTGACAGTTGATTTGATGAGCGGATGAGCGGTATGGATACTTGTTTGCGCCAAACCGTTGGTATTTTAAAAATGCAAACTGTCACTAGTGTATTGAACGAGGGTGACTGTAGTAGATGGGTCGTAATGTTACGCGCCACCTTTGGCCTATACTCTCAGCCTCATGGTGCCACAAAAACCTGGCTACAGACTGGAAGCAAACAAAAACGGCAAAGCCTTAATATTGTTAGATTCTGATCATTTCCCCCGAGTTTGTCGGTCTTCACCTTAACCTCCGTGAAACCAGACCAATAACTTGCCAAATTTTGCTCGAAAAAATGATCAAACGCGGAATTTCGGGTTTAATTATTTGCAACCATGGATATCGGGATGTCCTCAATGTTAGTGAACTGCACTTGTATTGTTTCGAAATAGTTAAAGTAAATTGAATATTCTAAGGGTAAACCCTAAACTGCGTGATGGTCAGAACTGATCCCAGTTAGATTAACTTATTTCGGTGCGCTTCTTTAGCTCCAGACTGCAAGGGCTGTAATCCCGTATGTGTCCAGAACAATTCACCACAGAAAGTAGCAGAATATACCTGATCCCAGTCACATAGTTTCAAATATATCGGTACGGAAACTGTCCGAGGTCCAAAATGGCCATATGGCCATCCTGGTGTTACGAAACGATGTGCCGCTAGAACTACTGCAGCAAACTCACGTGTGTTCAGTCAACACCGAAACAGATTGATTCAGATTCTGCCTGCCGATCCACACGCCCGGCTGAACAAACACACGGCCACTTCAACAAACGGAGACAGTGATGCAGAAGAACTATGCAAAATGAGGCAAACGTGCTTATTTGAAAGATCACCAATTCTGTCGCTGTGTTGGACCAAACATATCTGTACTTCATCCACTGATCAGAAACGGTCATGAGCAGATAAACGATGAGCGGCGTAAGATACCGAGACGTTTATAAGTTTATTGTGTGATGATGGCTTAGTCATCCTTAAACCAGACATGTTTCGCCACAAATCCAGGTGATGCGAACAGAGTGTAGCTGGACAGTGGCGCATTTGACGGGAAAGACTCGTCGTTGTGTGGAATGAAGCACCGCTGAGAAACTGAGCACTGACGATGTCAACCCGACTGGAGAGGAAATAATTCCAATAAAATTGAAGGCACAGGCAATAATACAATCACTAACTGGTTGCTGGCTCGTTCGCTGAGCTGGGCAATTTAATTGCCCACAAACACTAACCCACCGCTGCGTACCACTACGCTCCCCACTAACGCACTGATGATGTCACCTCGATTGGTGGTGAAACATTTGCAATCAAATTGCCCAGCTCACCGAACAAGCCAACGACCATCTAGGCTACCTGAGCAACCAACATTTTCCTCTACAGACAATAACTAACTACAGACGGAAGTCTTCGCTTCGGTTCCACAGACTGATGGTAAACCTCTACCGCAATTCTGTTCCGTATTACTGAATTAGTGTGCATAACTTTTCTTTTGTGGCTATGCAATGCGTATTGCCCCATAACATGAGACTGTTTGTCCACACCTGTCCCTGGTATTCTGATTATTTAGCGGGTGTTTTCAGTGAAACCCCAAATCAGTCTTGACTCACTCAAGCCTGTATTACCGATGTCACTTTGCAATTCAACTATCAAGCCCGGCAAACAAATCAACAACCAAGCTACCGGTATTTCGCAATAGCACTGCCGTACTCCAAAACTTAACGCCCAGCCCCATGACGGCCCTCTAGCTAACATTATCAAACTGTAAGGTATGGTAGAAGCAAGAATTAGTGATGTTTCCAAATACGATCATCTCTCCAGTAGAGCTAAATGTTCTGTTTTCTTTTCGAAAGTATACCAGAGGGGCAATATCGTATTCTGAAACGTCTTCATTTAGACTTGTCCGTAAAACGGAAAGAAAAAGAACGAATTTTTGATCAAACGTGACGATTACCACGGAAAACTGCATTGGTATGCCCTGGATCATATGTAGTGCGGTGTTTGGCGAAGAGGTCAGGATAAGAGATGCTGTGTGGTACGTTGTGATTTTATCGAAACGAAGGGTAGCATAATTCAAGACAAATCTCATTACCCTTCTTCCGGTACATGGTTATCCAATACAACTTACGAACACAGTGTACCAAGAAGTGGCGATGACGTAATAAGACTGAAAATATAAACTTACCCAAGTTAACTCCGAAATCTGCCAATTTCGGAACTTTAGAGGCCGCAACCTGGTTGAATTCTGCCCACTCCTTCGAAAACGTCGTGGCCCAGCGACAGATTGAATATGGTAGACGGCTTGCGCAACAAAGCTGAAGTATCATAGTCAGGTACAGGCGAACAAGGAGTCGGTGTCTCGGCAATGGCCCGGTATCAGAAACTGCGGGGTCAGTAAATCGTTCCGCAACGCTGATGATATCATAGGCCGTGTGGTAGATAGGCGGATAGGCCAGCCCGTCATCCTTAAGGAGAAACATCAGAGCAGAGACGGTTTCCATGGAAATGAATAAACCGGTTGTCGTGAATCCCCTGTTGGACGAACCCTCCAAAACATGACCACACATCAACTAACGTTTCGGTAGTTTCTCCTTAAAACAAACCTCCATCCATGCAACAACGTAAAAGAAGAAACGATCTTGGCCATCCCTGATCTTTCAGAGGCAACGGATTGATTCCTCAATATAAAAACCCTCAACTTATAAGCATCTTAAAGGAGAAAGCTGAACTTCTGTTATCCGACAAATCCACCGACGCGTAATTCAATGTCTTGTCGACTACTGGAAATATGTGCGCTTCATTTGTGGAGTTACCAAATCTGGTTCTTCTCACAACTGGAGGAAAATTAAAGCTCCCATAGTTACGTTCTATCAAACCCGTATTTCAACAATAGCCTGAGTTAAAAACAACAAACTAGTGCGTTCAAATAGTATATCTTGTAACGAAGTGAATTTATACAACTGAGCTGCTGGTTCCTAGGAAACGCGATAAGGTTTCTGATATGACCGAATTCGTTTTCCGAAGCCGTCAGAGACCTAAAGTGTTGTGCGATAATCCACCTCCCCAAGACAAACAAACAGTGAAATAGGGGCGCTTTGGTTTTCCTCAGGGGCTCACAAACTAGACAGTGGCTGACCAGAGCTACGTTGTAGGTATTCCCGGTTAATGGCGTCTCACATGAGTCTCTCCTAGGAAGTAACTGTGTAGTCTACCAACCTACTACTTACAAAGAGGCTCGATAACTGTAAATAAGCCAAGTAACGTGATTTAAACTGCAACCCGAAAACTTGAAGAAAACTGGACCAGTATTTACTACGTGGAAGAGTCCAGACGGCTAGAATCGGAACCCTGAAAGTGCAAACCATTAAGCCATCGCTAGCATTCTGACGAATTCAAACAGATGAGGTTGATAGGACTTACTGGTGTAAATCCGGGATACGAAGATGGAACACCCAGTTTGTAAGAAAAAGGAATGTGGTCTGAGCCAGTCCCTGGCGGAGTAACACTGAAGAAGAAAACAGAGGTTGTGGGGAAGCATTACCATCTCATATGTTTACGTGTATAGATGAGCAACAACAAAAACAAGTTATCACATTAGGCAGAAAATTCTCCATACACGCGTTACAATTGGCTTAGAACGAGTGGTCAACTTTCGGAAGTGTTAGACAAAACTGTCAGTGAGTTCGACTAAAAGGAGACACTTCTGAGAGGGCATGGTAATGTGAACTTCACAGCAAACAACCTATCAAAGTACCACGCGCAAAGCACAACACCGCCTAAAGATAGCCCTGAATACCGTATAAGTAGTGCACCTTGTAGTCACTTGCTACCTACTTTTACCTATTTGTAATTGAAGAATTATCAAAGCGTGCTTTTGTCTGAACTTCCTGTTTTCATGAGTAGTACCGATCGTTGAAAACGAGCCAAGTTTCTTCACTGTGAGTCAACGACCACGACAATGTCCAATTTCTCACCATCTTTTTGTAGTCGGCCTCTAGCCCAGGGGCTAGAGTTACAGTTCTGTTGATTACAAGGCGGCCGACTCTTTCGTTCACCCCTCACCATTTGGCGCTTTTCCGGATGTTTTTTCTTATTAGAGGGAACACAATCAATTTCCTATATGTTTACCCAAAAAGCCAGTGTTCAGTCTTCACGCAAAAAACAACGCCCTATCTACTGTCACCATCACAGTGTCAGTGTCATCAGATCAGTGTTCAACGCTAATGCCTTACTGCCGTACAACCGTAAGTTATGTGAAAATCATATTGCGAAAAAACAATCAAACTGGGTGGAGAAGTGACCTGGTGATAATCTATCACAATCATTCCGAGGTCCTCAGACCTCCAGACACTCAGGTAATTTCGATAAAGACTGACAAGAACGCTACTGACACTGGTTAGCAAGCATAGCCTGCAGCACCCTCAACCATGCATCAAGCGGTCCCCACAGTGGAAGGCAATCCGCACCTACACCATCCAGGCTTTTCCACAGTCTCTTTCATACTTCTCTTTCAGGTCAAGGATTGACCACCAGTCTGCTTGAGACATTCAGATTAGACACGGAAAACAGAACTCTCTTTCGCAAACGATGAGTCAACATGCGCAATACATGGCTTAACCACCGCAACTTATGGTGCTGAACAAACTATTCGATGGAAGTCCTCGTTGCACAGTCGAACAGTCGTCACTAATTTCCTCGTTGTAGATACGTGGATACCAGTCTACACAAGCTATGATTCTGAGACAAAGGTCCCGAAGACCTGAAGAAATCGCAGTTTCGCTATTCGAAGGGGCCATGTTTAACAGCCGTACAAGAAAACTGATACACACGTCCCTTGAGATTCATGGATATAGCACTTTGATGACATAGTTGTCTCACGTTAGAATCGGAACTAAGACAACCTCCAAGATATGCACAGCGCTTCAGAAATTCGAGTACCTGTCTTTGAATTGCAAGTGACAGTGCGTTCATAGACAAGAGCAAACGTGGTGCCAAAGGGCACGGTGATCTGGTCAGCTCATCCAAAACACCTGCGCTTTATTCTCCTCTTTTACGGCGAGAAGGATCTCATCTGTACATTCCAGATCGATTTGGTGTTCGTCAGTGGCTAGTTGAACACTAGGGTTTTAAAGACAACCTACGTTCATCTGTACATTCCATCATTCAGTCGATCACAAAACTGAATAGGAATGGAAAGAGTTGGCATCCTTGTCGGACATAACTTTGTGTACGGGAGGCTTCGGAAAGCTCTTCGTATACCCTCACACGTTCTTAAGTCTGAGAACACAAAGAAACGAATGCGCTCACAAACATACGGAATACTCCTAGCTGAGAAAGCATGTTAAGGAGACCAACTGATCAACTGAGTAGAATGCACATTGGAGATTCTGCAGTAGTAAAAGTGTGGGTCCTTTATACATATGACGTTGTCCTACCACCTGAATGAACGTGAAGATAAATCCGTCTAACTTCGAGATCTGCCAGTCTCTTAGTCGTTAAGCGAATTGTCAAGAGCAGCTTCCTGCTCCGCTTCCTTCAGAATGCGAACATCAAAAGCGACCCGGTAAGCAGGATGCCTTGGCTTAAAGATTGATTTCGGGATGCCTGAGGCCGTCGGCGCCGGATGACACGCAGACGTTCTAGCTAAAACCGATGCAAGAATGGCCTCCTCAGCCCCCACTGATGGGCATACAAGGAGCTGGTAATAAGGTAGGCGAAGGGGGATGATAAATTACGTGAAAAAGTGAGAAGGGAGGTGTCAGCTTCAACCTTTTCTCTCTTACTAGCTCTGTTGTAGGCAGCAAGTAAGGTGAACCGGCTGATGACACCAGGTGGCGGCAACTGTGGCATGACATTATTTTTAGTTGTGGGGGTCGCGTTTGTACGCGGGCTGATATACCGCCAGGACGTTGAACGTAGACAGGAGGATGATTAAGGTCCTCGACCGAGGCTGCTTCGACTCAGAAACCTAACCTTAGTGCAGCAGTGTTTGGCGGGAAATACCAGTGCATTACCACTCGTAAACAGAGAATCGTCAAACATGTTCCAACCACCAACCTGGAGAACCACGTGACTTGGTCAGATCTCTAACAACTGACCAGCCTGTTGAGAAACTGTGAGTACGGCTTAGTGCGTCAGGGAGACACATAGACCGTCACAACACGGTAAGGTCCGGTCAATCATCATCATCATCAACGACAGCATGACATCAGTGCTCAACACCAATGCTTCACTGCCGTCTAACCATAAGGCAACGGTGTTTGGCGGGAAATGCATATGCATTACTTTTTCTACGGAACAAGTTGCCATACATATTCCAACCCCCAACCTGGAGGACCAGGAGACTGTTCGTCAGACCGCTAGCCATTCACCAACCTGGTAGGAGAGACT